CATGGATAACTTTGTTCTGGGTAAGTTTCTCTTATCCCCAATCCAGAAACCAGTACAAAAAGCCCGGTGAGTACCGCTTGTGTGGACCCCTCGAAAAAGTTACTTTTGGGGGCTGGAGCAATAGCACAGCGGGTAGGGCGTTTGCCTTGCACGCGGCTGACCATAAGGGATGCTGGGTTCGATTCCCAGCATCCCTTATGGTCCCCTGAGCACCGCTAAGAGTAATTCCTGAGTGCATGAGTTAGGAGTAACCCTCCCTGTGCATCGCCAGGTGTGACCCAAAAAGCCAAAAAAAGAAAAAAAAGAACAAGAAAAAGTTATTTTTCTGTTGCTCCAGGGGAACAGAGGGCCCCTAGTGGCTATCTTTGGAACTGCAGCCTAAATCCCCAGGGTCTGGACTTGAACCCGGGTTAGCTGTGCGCGAGGCAAGCGCTTTCCCTGTTATCCTCTCTCCGGCCCCTCTTGAAGTGTATTTGATCTGTATAAAGGGCAGAATTTTTCCAACAAAAAGAATGTTGCTGGAAGTTGTTCCAAATGCCATCTGAGTGATGGCCATATGTCATATAGAAACTATGCACCTAACTGAATGGAAAGTGCACCGTCACAGATGGCATGTTCTATCCCGGAATCTCTGTTCACAGCAAATGTTTCTGAAGTAGCGTTCTACCACATGACACATGACTGTGCTCATAACAAGAAGTTTTAGATCCTGTGTTTTGTAAAACGCATTAAAAGGGGCCGGGGAGAGGATTCAATGGGCATATTTGCATGCAGGGGAATGGGCTCACCCTCTGGTGTCTGAGTACTGTTGGGAGCATTGTAGCACTGTCCTCCCGTTGTTCATCGATTTGCTCGAGCGGGCACCAGTAACGTCTCCATTGTGAGACTTGTTGTTACTGTGTTTGGCATTTCGAATATGCCATGGGGAGCTTGCCAGGCTCTGCCTTGCAGGCAGGATACTCTCGGTAGCTTACCGGGCTCTCCGAGAGGGACAGAGGAATTGAACCCAGCTGCGTGCAAGGCAAATGCCCTACCCGCTGTGCTGTAAGTGTGAATCCTCTGGCTGGCTCATCTGTCCTCCCCTACCACAGGGATAAACAAACAAACCTGGAGGGACTTGGGAGAAAAATGCATTCTGCAAGATTCCTGGGTCCTTCCCAGTGCCTGCTTGGCTGACATTCGGAGCGGGGATTTGTCCTCGGACTGGCATTCTTTTTTGTTGTTGTTTGGTTGCTTTTGAGTCACACCTGGTGGTGCTCAGGGCTCACTGCTGGCTCTGCATTCAGGGGCGGGCTTCTGGCTGGCTCGAGGGACCATGGAGAGGCTGGGGATCGAACCCCCAGTAGGCCACGTGCAAGGCAAGCGTCTTACCTGCTGTACTGTCTCCCAGACTCCCAGAATGACATCTAAGTCCCTGCACTCTCGTATGAGGCACTGAAATTTGTGTTTGAGAAGCAATTCTCATGATATCTATGAACTTAGAATAATTCTGGGCTAGAGCAATAGCACAGCGGGTGGGCATTTGCCTTGCACGCGGCTGACCTGGGTTCAATTTCTCTGTCCCTCTTAGAGAGCCCGGCAAGCTACCGAGAGTTTCTTGCTCACAAGGCAGAGCCTGGTAAGCTCCCTGTGGCGTATTCGATATGCCAAAAACAGTAACAAGTCTCACAATGGAGATGTTACTGGTGCCCACTCGAGCAAATCGATGAACAACGAGAGGACGGTACTACAGTGCTAGAATATCTCTGTACCATTGACACAAACATCCTATGGTTTGGATTCTAACCCAGATAAATAAACGTCTCATCGCAAAAAGTCTATATACAGAAAAGTTTTTCCCAATACCATCGGTGGCAAATGACAAGCCACTCAGAGGTGGGTTCAGATCTCCACACCAGAACTTCTGTTATGAAGTAAGGACTCAAAGTGGGGGTGGGGGTGTCTGTCTACACAGACTGGAAGACTGTTGTGGTTTGCTTGGGGGTGAAACCCAGCAGTGCTCGGGGCTCATTCCTGGCAGGGTTCAGGAGACCGCATATGACACATACATGACCACAGAGGGATCGAACTGGGGTCGGATACATGCAAGGCAAATACAAACAGTACACCTTAACCTGTGTACTATTTCTCTGACCCTGTCGGAAAGGACTTTTGTTTTGGGGGGGCATACCCAGCTGTCCTGAGGGATGACTCCTGACTCTGTGCTCTGGGAATCATTCCTGACAGTGCTTGGGGGACCATAGGGTTTTCCGGGGACCAGAGCTGGTTGGTTGCATGAGAGGCAAGCACCTGAGCTCCTGTTGCTACCTTTCTGGCCCATCAGCCTGGAAGGTTTTTGACTGTGCTCATGATTAGGGCAATTTGGCAGGGACTGGAAAGAGGGTTCCCCTGAGGGTTCTCTGACATGCCACATGTCATTGCCATTTATCATTGCCTCTATTCTCAGCTTTAAAATAGTCAGGTGTCCGGGGCTGGAGCGATAGTACAGTGGGTGGGGCTTTTGCCTTGCACGCGGCCAACCTGGGTTTGATTCCCAGCATCCCATGTGGTCCCCCGAGCACCACCAGGAGTGATTCCTGAGTGCAGAGCCAGGAGGAACCCCTGTGCATAGCCAGATGTGAGCCAAAAAGCAAAACATAAATAAAATAAAAATAGTCAGGTGTCCATGACCCAGAAATCTCACAGCTGGGGGGCTGGAGTGATAGCACAGTGGGTAGGGCGTTTGCCTTGCACGCGGCCGACCCGGGTTCGATTCCCAGCATCCCACATGGTCCCCCTGAGCACTGCCAGGAGTAACTCCTGAGTGCAGAGCCAGGTGTAACCCCTGTGCATCACCAAAAAGCAAAAAAAAAATAAAAAGAAAAAGAAATCTCACAGCTGGGATTCGTTCCCAGAAATACAGGCCTCCAGAAAAAGCTGTCATCTGCAGGGAGGGTGTTCCAGCATTGTGTGCTGGCTAAACAGCTCCTGCTCACATGTCCAGGCAGGCTGCACGTGCTGGCACACAGGCCACGGAGAGCCTTAGCCGAGCTCTTGAAGGCCGTATATTGTTTGCTTGGGGGCCACACCCAGAGAGAGCTCAGGGCATGCTGAGGTCCCCAGATTTCTGGATTTGAGTCCCAGTGCCCAACCCCCCCCCCCCCAAATGCTGCTAGATTGAGTCTCAAATGAAACAAATGTATGTCTGTTTTAGGAGAGAAGAACAGGAGAGCTGAGAGGTAGGGGTGAGTCTGGGCGGGTAGGAGGAAGTGGGGTTTGTTGCGAGATAGGTCAGAAAGATAAATCTGGGAGATTTTCTATAGCAAACCCGAGAAAGCAGAATCAAACCCATTAGCTGAGTGTTTTACCTCCCAGAGGCACACGGTAGGATTGAAAGTAAATTTAACTCTAAATCTGCAGGGGTGTAGCCACAAAATCAGGCATCTAAGAAAGCAGTGAGTCTGGGAGATGCTTGAAAATACCAAAACATTAATTATTAATACCCCTTATTAATAATTACTAGATTATTATTCCTTAGTCTGCCTATGGAAGGGTAGGGCTGGAACGATAGCACAGCGGGGAGGGCGTTTGCCTTGGACATGGGCAACCCAGGTTCTATTCCTGTCCCTCTTGGAGAGTCCGGCAAGCCACCGAGAGTATCCCGCCCGCATGGCAGAGCCTGGCAAGCTCCCCGTGGCGTATCCATATGTCAAAACACAGTAACAAGTCTCACAATGGAGATGTTCCTGGTGCCCGCTCGAGCAAATCGATGAACAACGGGAGGACAGTGCTACAGTGGACAGTGGACAGCTTGCCTCCACCCCCACCCCACTCAGGTGGCTGGCTGTATTACAGGAAGGAATCAAAGACATAGAGTCTGGAGTCATAGCACAGCGGGGAGGGCGTTTGCCTTGCACCGCAGCCAACCCAGGTTCAATTCCCAATTCCCCTATGGTCCCCTGAGCACCGCCAGGAGTAATTCCTAAGTGCAGAACCAGGAGTAACCCCTGAGCATTGCCGGGTGTGACCCAAAAAGCAAAAACAAAAACAAAAACCATAAAGACATAGAGTCACCACTTAGAATGGAACAACTTAAAAACTCAGGCATAAAGTCAGGGATGTGACTCAGTAGAAGCGGATTTGCCTTGAGTGTGTGAGGTCCTGGGTTCCATCCTCAATTCTGCGCAAAATAAGCAGACACATACATCAAGTATCCTGCACAAAAATCATGAATTAATTTGTGTGCTTGTGTGTGGTGGGGGCGGGGTGTGGGAAGGGAAACTTGGTGTCATCCATGGTGGCCCAGGGATTGCTCCTGAAAGTGCTTAGGGTCTGCCCGTTTAAGTGAGCACCTCACTCCCTAAAAAACTCTCTGGCTTGGATGAAACAATTTTTTTTTCTCTTTTGGGTCACATCCGGTGATGCTCAGGGCTGACTTCTGGCTCTGCACTCAGGGATCACTCCCGGCGGTGCTTGGGGAGACCCTATGGCATGCAGGGAATCGAACCCGGGCTGGCCGCGTACAAGGCCAACGCTCTCCCCGCTGTGCTATGGCTCCGGCCCTATGAAAGCATTTTTTTTTTTTGCTTTTTGGGTCAAACCCGGCGATGCACAGGAGTTACTCCTGGCGGTGCTCGGGGACCATGTGGGATGCTGGGAATCGAACCCGGGCCAGCCACGTGCAAGGCCAACGCCCTCCCCGCTGGGCCATCGCTCCGGCCCTATAAAAAGCATTTTTAAACGTTCCATTATGCTTCTATTGTCTGAACATTCTGCATCTCGGGCGCTCGCAACGACGCGTCTACACCAACAACCCCGCGTTCCAGGGGCTACTTCCGGTCCCCGACCTGCTGCTTGGCCACGCCCCCAGGGCGCTCGGGCCTCCCGGGCGAAAATCCCGCGAGACGCGGCCGCCCAATCAGCGCCGGGCGGGGCGGGGCGTCGCCGGCCGCCACCCCGCGGGAAGCTCCCGCCCCCGCGCTTCCGGCGCGCGCGGTGACGTCGGCGGCGCCGGGCGCCCGAGCGCAACCGACCCCGGAAGCGGCGGGGGCGGCGGGGCTGGGCCGGCCGGCAGGGGGCGGCGGCGCCGGGCATGGTAACGGGCGGGCGGGCCGAGCTCCGCCGCGGCGCCGCCATGATGATCCACGGCTTCCAGAGCAGCCACCAGGACTTCGCCTTCGGGCCCTGGAAGCTCACGGCCGCCAAGACGCACATCATGAAGTCGGCGGACGCCGAGAAGTGAGGCCGCGGGGACGCGGGCCGCGACCTTGCGGGACGGCCCGGGGCGGGGGCGCGCGCGGGAGCGCCCGCGGGCTTGTACGCGCGCAGGGACACACGCACGGGCACACGCACGGGCACACGCACGGGCACACGCACTTGCCGTACGCACGCGGACAGACAGACAGGCTCAAGGCACGCGCACGCACGCACACGAACATGCACACACAAGCACACGCACGCACAGACATGCACACACACAGACATGCGCACGTACACGCACACGCACACACAGACACGTGCACACGCACCACGCACACATGCACGTGCACACACACAAACACGCACACACAGACTCACGCACACAGACGTATGCACACACACAGACACCTGCACAGGCACACACGCACGCGCACACACAAACATGCACACACAAATGCACACACGCACGCACAGACACATGCACATGCACACAGACAGACGCACATGCACACACACGGACACACTCACGTGCACACGGACACATGCACGTGCACACACGCACAGACACATATGCATACGCACAGACATGCACACATGCATGTGCACACGCAAACATGCACACACAAGAACACACAGACACATGCACGCGCATATGCACAGATAGACATGCGCATGTGCGCACACAAACACATGCACACACAAGCACACACACACCAGACACATGCACACACACAAACACCCATGCACACACAGACATGCACACACATGCCCACATATGTGCACACATGCACCCAGACACACGCACACACATATACACATGCACACATAACACATAAACATGCACATACGCACATATACACACATGCACACACACGCACACACAGCCAGCCCCAGGGAAACATGCTCACGCGTGCATACACTCAGCATGCCCCAGGGAAACATGCATGCAAATGCACATGCACACACATGCACACACGCACATGCACACATACATGCATGCACGCACGCACCCTGGTGGAGGTGCTGGGGCATTACAATGGGCGTGGTGGCCAGTGGACGCCTTGACTTTCCAGCGTGTCCGGCAGTGCGGGGTGGGGACCCGGGGAACCTGAGCTCCCTCCTTCAGACACACCCTCCCTCAGTCCCTTCTCCCCAGACCGGTCACCGCAGTGCACCTGGACCCGCCTCAGGTGTGCGGCTTGCGGCTCCCAGATTAGCTAGTGTCGGGGGCCTGAATCTCGGTGCAGGCTGAGCGGTGGGGGCGTCCCTGCAAGCCGGGACCGCGGGAGCTGACAGCAGCAGCCCTGTCCTGGAAGGAGGTTGCATGTCTGTGTGTGCATGTGTGTGTGTGTGCATGTGTCTGGTGTATGTGCACGCATGTGCCTTTGTGTGTGTGCATGTGTGTCTGTGTTTCCAGATCCGTTTGGGATCTGGAGACTGCACACGTGTGCTGGGCTCAGGTGAGCAGGGACCCCCCCCCCCAGAGCTTTTTGATTTTATTTAGTTACTTTTTCGCCAGACTGCTGGCCTGTTGGCTCCCATCAGTGGGGTGCGAGTTGGTGCTCTGGTGTCGCCCTGCCTGGACAGGACCTCCCCCTCCTCCCCTGCCCGAGACAGGGGTGGATCGGAGGCCTGCAGGACCTGAGTTAGAGTGGAACAGAGCGGGTGAGGGGAAGTCCCTGAGCCAGGGGGAGAGCTGGAAGGAGGTTGCCTGCCCCCGGCTAACTCGGTTCAGGGCTGGTACCCGGAGGCTTCGCCGAGAAGAAGCGGAGGAGGTGAGGGCGGGCCGTGGGGAGGATGCCTTGACTTCATTGAAACATCTTCAGTGCTTCAGTGCATAGTGTCACTGCCATGCTTCCCTATTCTCCACAATGCGCGAGCGGCCATGGCATTTCCCCATCACCGAGGCACAGGTTACCGAGGCAGAGATTATCACCCCGGACAGTGCGGGAAGAAGTCAGAGGGGCTAGGAACGGAAGGAAGCCACCTTTTTTTTTTCTTTTTGGGTCACACCCGGCAAAGCACAGGGGTTCCTCCTGGCTCTGCACTCAGGAATTCTCCCTGGCGGTGCTCAGGGCACCCCGTGGGTTGCTGGGAATCGAACCCGGGTCGGCTGCGTGCAAGGCAAACGCCCTCCCCGCTGTGCTATTGCTCCAGCCCCTGGAAGTCTCCTTCTTAACCTGTTCGGTTATTGGGCCACATCTGATAGTGCTCGGGGTCTTAACTCCTGGCTCGGTGCTCACAGATCACTCCTGGCAGGGCTCAGGGGACCCTGTGGGGGTGACCCGTCCCCCGGCTTGTGGTCGCCGCAGGTTGGCCAATGAGCTGCACATGCCGTCGCTGCCGGAGATGATGTTTGGGGACAACGTCCTCAGGATCCTGCACTGCTCTGGCTTTGGGATCGAGTTCAACGCCACGGACGCGCTGAGGTGTGTCAACAACTTCCAGGGCATGCTGAAGGTGGCGTGCGCCGAGGAGTGGCAGGAGAGCAGGTGAGCGCCGCCTTCGGAACCGGAACCGGAACGGGGCCGAGGGTCCGCCAAGGTCCACGGACAGGGGTCGGTATGCAACCCGCGGGTGGGTGGTTCTGGAATTCAGTTTCTGCCTTGTAACGCGGAGGTTGCAGGTTGGTCCATTGGCTGGGGCTGTCCCCCGTGAATTGTTGCTGCGGTAAATTGAGTCACAGCTTTGAGGAGTGGTGTGGGCTTGGCTGGCTTCAATCCTCCTGGTTCTCCATGTGGTGTGTTTGTTTTTATTCAATCTTTTTATTTATTTATTTTAACTTTTTTGCTTACTGGGCCATGCCCGGCAGTGCTCAGGGGACTTACTCCTGGCTCTGCTAATGGATCATTCCTGGCAGGGCTCAGGGGACCTTATTTGGGGGGGAGGGAGGGGTAGGGTACCAGAAAACAAATCCAGGTCCAAGCAGAAAAAGGAAAAAAATGGGGCTGGAGCCATAGGACAGCGAGGAGGGCGTTTGCCTTGCACGCAGCCGACCCAGGTTCGATCCCCAGCATCCCATAGGGTCCCCCGAGCACCGCCAGGAGTGATTCCTGAGTGCATGAGCCAGGAGGAACCTCTGAGCATCGCCGGGGGTGGCCCAAAAAGCTGTCACTGTTACTGTCCTCCCGTTGTTCATCGATTTGCTCGAGCGGGCCCAGTAACGTCTCCATTGTGAGACTTGTTGTTACTGTGTTTGGCATAAGGAATATGTCACGGGGAGCTTGCCAGGCTTTGCCATGCAGGCGAGATAATCTCGAGCTCTCCGAGAGGTGCGAAGGAATTGAACCCCGGTTGGCCAGCCGGCCGCTTGCAAGGCAAATGCCCTACCCACTGTGCTATCACTCCAGCCCCAAAAAGCAAGCCAAAAAAAAAAAAACCTCCAAAAAACCCAGGTTCACTTAGTGCCAGGCAAGCACCTCACCTGCTGTACTCTGTCTCTTCCATTCTGTTTTTCTGTTTTTTCTTTCTTTTTTTTTTTTTGGCTTTTTGAGTCCCACCCGGTGATGCTCAGGGGTTCCTCCTGGCTCATGCACTCAGGAATTACTCCTGGTGGTGCTTAAGGGGATCCTACAGGATGCTGGGAATCGAACCCGGATTGGCTGCATGCAAGGCTAACGCCCTCCCCGCTATGCTATTGCTCCAGTACCTCTGGTCCCTTTTTTTTTCTTTGTGGTTTTTTTTTTTTTTTGCTTTTTGGGTCACACCCGGCGATGCTCAGGGGTTCCTCCTGGCTCTGCACTCAGGAATCACTCCTGGTGGTGCTCAAGGGACCACATGGGGTGCTGGGAATTGAACCCAGGTCTGCTGCGTGCAAGGCAAACGTCCTCCCCGCTGTGCTATTGCTCCAGTCCCTCCGTTCTGTTTTTTAAAGAAAAATGACTCCTTCAGATTTGTGGGGGACATTTCAGGGCCATGGAGGTGAAGGGCAACATGCTGTCTTGGAAACCCAGAGCTGCGAGGGTTGTTCTGTTGGCCCAGTGATGGCCCAGTGGCTCTGGTGGGCCCGAAAGCGGACGCCTTGGGGTCAGGCTCTAGCAGAGACGAGTCAGCCCGCCCCACCCGCGGGCACCTGATGCCGCCCGATGCCGCGTCCCTCGTCCCATCCCCTGCTTCCCTGTCTCTGAGGACGGAGGGTGAGCACTCCAAGGAGGTACTGAAGCCGTACGACTGGACCTACACGACGGACTACAAGGGCACGCTCCTCGGGGAGTCCCTGAAGCTGAAGGTGAGCGCGGCCACTTGCGTCCAGCCCGGCGCCGGCCCCGATGGTCTCGGTTCAAGAACGTTCTCGCAGCGCGGGGATGTGGGTGGGTGGCGTTCGGCCGGGAGTGGCAGGGCCTGGGGTCCCCGTGGGGCGCTTTGGGGCCTCACCCATCTTCGGGGGCGCCGGGCCTCGCTGCCCAGTGTCGGTGGCCAGAAGCCGGGTGCCTCGACGTCCCTAGGGGGGCTCTCGGCGTTTCAGCCAGCAGCCTGCATTTGTACAGACGAGCAGGAGCCCGGGCTGGGGGCGGGGCCCCTGGTGTGGGGGGGGGCACCTGGTGAACAGCCCCCGTTCAGGGGCCCTCCTGAGTCAGCCGTGGGCTCAGTGGGGCTTGGGTTGGCAGGACAGTCGCCGTCCTGGGGGTCGGACCCAGCTCGGCTGTGTGCAAGGCAGCACACCACCCCCTGCTCTCCCCAGACCCCTCTTTGAATCGTCCCTGAGGTTCTTTGTTTTTGTTTGCTTTTTGGGTCCGACTCAGTGATGCTCAGGGCTGACTCCTGGCTCTGCACTCAGGAATCATTCCTGGCGGTGCTCGGGGGACCCTAGGGGTTGCCGGGGATCGAACCCAGGTCTACTGCGTGCAAAGCAAATGCCCTACCTGCTGTGCTATCACTCCAGCCCCAGCACCCCTGAGGTTCCTTTGCCTTCCAGGTCGTGCCGACAACAGACCACATCGACACGGAGAAGCTGAAAGCCCGCGAGCAGATCAAGTTCTTCGAGGAGGTTCTCCTGTTTGAGGACGAGCTGCACGACCACGGAGTGTCCAGCCTCACCGTGAAGATCGTGAGTGCCCGCCTTGTTCCCCCCCAGCCCGGCTGTCTGGGATCCCCCAACAGGGCTGACCCCCGCTCTGCCTGTGCTCCGGCTCGGGGGTGGGGGTGGGGCGGGTAGCTGAAGGTGGGCATCGCAGCTCGGGGGGGAAGTCGTATTGCAGGGGAATGTTTTCTTACGGGGCTGGAGCGATAGCACAGCAGGTAGGGCGTTTGCCTTGCACACAGCCAACATGGCTGACCCGAGTTCGATTCCTCCGCCCCTCTCGGAGAGCCCGGCAAGCTACCGAGAGTATCTCACCCGCACGGCAGAGCCTGGCAAGCTCCCGTGATGTATTTGATATGCCAAACACAGTAGCAACAAAGTCTCATGATGGAGACATCGTGTATTTGTTTTGCTTTTTGGGTCCCACCCGGCGATGCTCAGGGCTGACTCCTGGCTCTGCACTCAGGAATCACTCCTGGAGGTGCTCGGGGGACCCTAGGGGATGCTGGGGATCGAGCCCGGGTTGACCGTGCGCAAGGCAAACGCCCTCCCTGCTGTGCTATGGCTCCAGCCCCTGGTACAGACTTTTATATGCTGTTAATTCAGTAAATCCTCTCATTTGAGAGGGCTTGAGGAAAACTGGACTCACACCTGGTAGTGCTCAGGACTGACTCCTGGCTCTGTGCTCAGGGCTGACTCCTGACTCTGTGCTCAGGGCTTACTCCTGACTCTGTGCTCAGGGCTGACTCCTGGCTCTGTGCTCAGGGCTGACTCCCGGCTCTGTGCTCAGGGCTGACTCCCGGCTCTGTGCTCAGGGCTGACTCCCGGCTCTGTACTCAGGGCCACCTCCTGGCAGTGCTCAGGGGACGATATCACTGTCGGGCTGGGGCCAGGGTTGGCTGCATCAAGGCCAACATTGTACACCTCTCTACCGTCACTCTGGCTCCCTGCTGATTTTTTTTCCTTTTGGGCCACACCCGGCGATGCTCGGGGCTGACTCCTGGCTCTGCACTGAGGAATCGCTCCTGGCGGGGCTCGGGGTCCCCCTGGGATGCTGGGGCTCGGTCCCGGCTCAGCCGTGTGCAGGGCAAACGCCCGCTGTGCTGTTGCTCCGGCCCCCGCCCCTCTGCGTTCCGAGGAGTCCTTTGCCGCGCGTGGGGCCGTCCGAGCGCAGCCGGTCGCTTCCCCTCCGCAGCGAGTGATGCCGTCCAGCTTCTTCCTGCTGCTGAGGTTCTTCCTGCGCATCGACGGGGTGCTCATCCGGATGAACGACACCCGGCTGTACCACGAGGTGGGTCTCCGGGGACCCTGCGGTGCCCGCGGCTCGTCGCGTCTCGTTTCCTTGGCAGGAAGTTCGACTTGAAATATTTTAGCTTTTTTATTTTTTTTTGGCTGGGGGGTGACCCACACCTGGTGTGCGCAGGGCTGACTCCTGGCTCTGCTCAAGGCTGACTCCCGGCTCTGTGCTCAGGGCTGACCCTCGGCTCTGTGCTCAGTGCTCACTCCCAGCTCTGTGCTCAGGGCTGACTCCTGGCAGACTTGGGGGACCCTATGGGGTGCCGGGGGTCCAACCAGGCCCAGCCACAGAACAGTGAAAACTGCGGCTCGTTTTCTTTTTTCTGCACGGTGAGGATTCACCCATTCTGTGGTCCGTCTGCGCTTTGCAGGGGGGCGTCCACCCCAGGCTCTGGGCTGTGCCCAGGGGCGCGTTCCCTCCAGTGAGCCTCCCGGTGGGCTCCACATCCCTCGCTGCCCCGTCGGCTGGGCGGGCACGTGTGTGTGTCTCTGTGTGTGTGTGTGTGTGTGTGTGTGTGTGTGTTTGTGTGTGTGTGTGAGTGATGGGGGCTTTGGTCAGTCGTGGTCCCCAAGCTGACCACACCCTTCCCGGCTCTTCCAGGCGGACCAGACGTACATGCTGCGGGAATACACTTCCCGGGAGAGCAAAATCGCCAACTTAATGGTACGGGCTGGTCTGTGTCGGGTGGGCTGGGGTCTGCGGTCGCTGCTGCTTGGTGCTGAGGGCGGGATTCTGCCCTTCCCCTGCTCCTCGGAGGGGGCATGGGCCCCTGTGCGTTCGTGAGGGCCTCTTTACACTGGGCCTCGGACCCTGTTCCTGCTTTGCTGTCCCGCCAGGTCTTCCGGGGGCGCCTCCTGGCTCTGTGCTTGGCTCCATGGGTCCCCCTGGGGGCCACCTGGCCACTCCCGGCTGGGCTGGACCCCAGGGCCTGGCCCCGTGGGCGCCTCTAGGTCCCTCAGCACGGCCTTCTGTCGGGGTGGAGGGTCCGCGTGGGTGGGGACAGTGGCCCTAAGTGCAGACCCCGCCCAGCGCCTGTCCGGCCCGTGGCCCTGGTTCCCGAGATGGGGGCCAGCGAGAAAGGGCCGGGGGTGAGGCCCGGCCACTCGGGACTGGAGCACACAGCCCGTCCCGGGGGTCTTCGGGGTCTTCAGGGTCACCTGCTCACTTGCACCCCGGGGGCAGCATGTGCCGCCCGCCCTGTTCACAGAGCCCAACGAGATCTCGCAGTACCTGCCCGTCAAGGAGGCCGTGTGCGAGAAGCTGCTTTTCCCGGACAGGATCGACTCGAACCCCGCCGACGCGCAGGACAAGCCCCTGCTCAAGTAGCGGTGAGCGCGGGGCCCTGGGGATGCCCGACGTGCGTGCGTGACTGTAGACAGTCATCACCGTCAGCCCCGTGTGGCCTGCCGGCCCCTATCCCCCGGTCCACCGCGACCCCCCGCTGCCCTCCTCGTCTCGGCTGGCCCCTGGCGGCCCCTCAGCACTGGGCATGTCGCCGCAGAGGCGTCCATCTCGGTGCACGGGGGTTTGGAAGGTTCCGGGTTTGGTGAGGGCGTCTTTGGTTTTCGCTCGGAGGCCACGTCCAGCAGGGCTCAGGGCTCAGGGGGCCACTTGGGGACCGCCCCGTGGGGTGCCCGCCCCGCTGCTCTGGAGAAGGTTCCAGAGTAGACCCCGCAGCAGGGCCTTCAGCCCTGTGAGTCCCGGTGCCCATCTGAAGGCGTTTGCAAATGTAGCCTGGAGGATCTGAAGGATTCTGCAGGAGTGAGACGCTTGCCTGGGATAATCCTGACACCCCAAACCACTGCCAGGAGTGATCCCGGAGCCCCACTGGGTGTGCCCCTAAACCCCAGCCCCAAGATACATACTTTTTTTTTTTAAAGCAGATATTGCATAAGTTTCTAACGCAGTCATATTTTCTGCTTTAATTATTGGAGCAGCAGCTAAGAGGGTGCGCTTCAGGGGCTGGAGCAATAGCACAGGGGGGAGGGCTTGCACATGACCAACTTGGGTTCGATTCCCAGCATCCCATAGCGTCCCCCGAGCACCGTCAGGAGTGATCTGAGTGCAGAGCCAGGAGGAACCCCTGAGCATTGCCGGGTGGGACCCAAAAAGAAAAAAAAAGACAAGAAAAGAGGGCGTGCTTCAGAAATAAAAGCCAGTTTTTCTTTCTGAACTTTCTTTTTTTTTAAACATTGCCCGGAGTCCAGTAAAAGATACTTTCTCCAAGACTTAGGTTGTCCCCCAATGAGACAAACATACTTTTGAAAATCCATTTAATTATTCGGATTGATGCTTCCAGCATTTGTAGTCTTGCGTGCCTTTCTGACTGGTCTTTTTTTGGGTCACACCTGGCGATGCTCAGGGTTTCCTCCTGGCTCTGCACTCAGGAATCACTCCTGGCGGTGCTTGGGGGACCCTATGGGATGCCGGGGATCGAACCCGGGTCAGTTGTGTGCAAGGGAAATGCCCTCCCCACTGTGCTATTGCTCTGGCCCCATATTTAATTTTTTTTTTAAATTTTTGGGTCACACCCAGAAATGCCTAGGGGTTCCTCCTGGCTCTGCACTCAGGAATCACTCCTGGCAGTGCTCAGGGGACCCTGTGGGATGCTGGGAATTGAACCCGGATTCGTGGCGTGCAAGGCAAACGCCCTCCCCGCTGTGCTATCACTCCAGTCCCAAACTTGTACATATTTCTGCTTGAAGGATAAATGGTTCAATGAGATGATTTAGTTTTCAAGTATTAGCAAAGCTCCTCGGCTATTAAAGCTACATTTCCACGATGGGTAGGGCTGGAGCGATAGCACAGCGGTAGGGCGTTTGCCTTGCATGCAGCCAACATGGCCAACCCGAGTTCGATTCCTCCGCCCCTCTCGGAGAGCCCGGCAAGCTACCGAGAGTATTCGATATGCCAGACACAGTAACAACAGAGTCTCCAATGGAGACGTTACTGGGCCCGCTCGAGCAAATCGATGAACAACGGGAGGGCCTTTCCACGATGGGTAAGTCGTGATCGCCACAGCCCGTGACATCAGTGGGCTGAATTTCTGAGCCGGATGTGGTCCAGAGTGGTTTGGCATTGGCTGGGCTTCTGCTGTGGCTTTTGCAAGGTTTAGAAAATCAGAAAATGAGGGTTTTGTTGTTAACTGAGACAATTACATAGCCTGTTTACTATATACAAAGGCCTGGTTTAATTTCATTTTTTTTTCACTTTTAGGACTGGAATGTGTATGAGTCGTACCTCACCTCACCTCCCGATCGTTTCCAATTATTTTCCATGCAGATTTGAACAAAACAGATGCAATTTATAAAAATTTCTAAGACAGGAAGAAAAACTTGTAAGACTATTCATTAGCTGAAGTTCGTAGGCCACTTCTATTCAGATGTCTTAGTGCCTGAGTCACTCTTAGGTGACTGTGAAACGTGGTAGAGATTTAAATTTTTTTTTTTTAAATTGCGGACGGGAGGTAGGTAAGTTGAGTGTATTCCCGGGAACTTTGTTATCT